CTTGGGGACATCTGGATCTGTGTCCCCAAGGGGTCCCAGTGTCCTTGAGGAACGTGGGACAGACATGGGGACACAGGAGGGACATGGGGACACCTGGATCCGTGTCCCCAGTGTTCCCGAGGGAGGGCGAAGGGACATGGGGACATCTAGATCTCTGTCCCCAGTGTCCCTTGGGGACACCTGGACCCGTGTCCCCAAGGAGCCCCCAGTGCCCACGAGGGACGTGGGGACACAGGAGGGACGTGGGGACGCTCCAGATCCGTGTCCCCGAGGGTCCCCAATGTCCCTTAGGGACACAGGAGGGTCTTGGGGACACCTTGGATCCGTGTCCCCAAAGGTCCCCAACGTGCCTGAGGGACGTGGGAGGGACATGGGGACACAGGAGGGACATGGGGACAGCCGTGAAGTGTCCCCAGTGTCCCTCGGAGCCAGCAGAGCGCTTGGGGACATTCCAGATCCATGTCCCCAAGGCTTCCCAGTGTCCCCTGGGGACACGAGAGGCTCTTGGGGACATCTGGGATCCGTGTCCCCAAGGGTGCTCCTGTGCGGCCCGGGGGGTGGCAGGGAGGGGACAAGGACCCACCTGGGGTGTCACCGGTGGCCGAGGGTCCGGTGCCACTGGCGGGGCCGGGCCGCGCTACCTGACGGACAGCTGTGACAAGAGAGACACGGGAGGGGACATCAGGGCCACCGCGGCCACCGCGCCGCGCGGGGACACGGCCCGGCCGGGCTGGCCCGGCCTGACCCCGGGGTGGCCCTGAGGTGGCCCAGGGTGGCCCTAGGGTGGCCCGAGGTGGCCTGGGGTGGCCCTGAGGTGGCCCTGAGGTGGCCCTGAGGTGGCCTGGGGTGGCCTGGGGTGGCCCCAGGATGGCCTGAGGTGGCCCTGAGGTGGCCTGAGGTGGCCCAAGGTGGCCCCAAGGTGGCCTGGGGTGGCCCCGAGGTGGCCTGGGGTGGCCCGAGGTGGCCCCGAGGTGGCCCCGGGTGGCCCTGAGGTGGCCTGGGGTGGCCCTGAGGTGGCCCCAAGATGGCCCCGAGGTGGCCCTGAGGTGGCCCTGAGGTGGCCTGGGGTGGCCCGGGGTGGCCCTGAGGTGGCCCAAGGTGGCCCTAGGGTGGCCCAGGGTGGCCTGGGGTGGCCCGGGGTGGCCTGGGGTGGCCCTGAGGTGGCCCTGAGGTGGCCCCAAGGTGGCCCGGGGTGGCCCCGAGTGGCTCCAAGGTGGCCTGAGGTGGCCTGGGGTGGCCCCGAGATGGCCCTGAGGTGGCCCAAGGTGTCCTGAGGTGGCCTGAGGTGGCCCCGAGGTGGCCCCAAGGTGGCCTGGGGTGGCCCCAAGGTGGCCCGAGGTGGCCTGGGGTGGCCCTGAGGTGGCCCCGAGGTGGCCCGAGGTGGCCCAGGGTGGCCCCGAGTGGCTCCAAGGTGGCCCAAGGTGGCCCGGGGTGGCCCTGAGGTGGCCCTGAGGTGGCCTGGGGTGGCCTGGGGTGGCCCGAGGTGGCCTGGGGTGGCCCTGAGGTGGCCCTGAGGTGGCCCTGAGGTGGCCTGGGGTGGCCTGGGGTGGCCCTGAGGTGGCCCGAGGTGGCCCTGAGGTGGCCCCGAGGTGGCCCGAGGTGGCCTGGGGTGGCCTGGGGTGGCTCCGAGGTGGCCCTGAGGTGGCCCGGGGTGGCCCTGAGGTGGCCCAAGGTGGCCTGGGGTGGCCCTGAGGTGGCCTGGGGTGGCCCAAGGTGTCCTGAGGTGGCCCGGGGTGGCCCCAAGGTGGCCCAAGGTGGCCCGAGGTGGCCTGGGGTGGCCCTGAGGTGGCCTGGGGTGGCCCCGAGTGGCTCCGAGGTGGCCCGAGGTGGCCCGGGGTGGCCTGGGGTGGCCCCGAGGTGGCCCGAGGTGGCCCTGAGGTGGCCCGGGGTGGCCCTGAGGTGGCCCTGAGGTGGCCCTGAGGTGGCCCTGAGGTGGCCTGGGGTGGCCCCGAGGTGTCCTGTGGTGGCCCCGAGGTGGCCCGAGGTGGCCCGGGGTGGCCCCGAGGTGGCCCGAGGTGGCCCTGAGGTGGCCCCGAGGTGTCCTGAGGTGGCCTGGGGTGTCCCCGAGGTAGCCCTGAGGTGGCCTGAGGTGGCCCGAGGTGGCCCGGGGTGGCCCCGAGGTGGCCCCGAGGTGTCCTGTGGTGGCCCCGAGGTGGCCCGGGGTGGCCCGGGGTGGCCCAAGGTGGCCCTGAGGTGGCCCAAGGTGGCCCGAGGTGGCCCCAAGGTGGCCATGACCCAAGGAGGGGGCACAGGAACTGGTCGCTGGTGGAGGGGGGACACGGGGGTGGCCTTGGGGACACCGAGGTGGCGCTGTCCCTGGGGTGGGGGTGGCGGGGCGATGTCACCTCTGCACTGAAACGTCCCTCTGGTGTCACCCCAGAGGTGGCCCTGTCCCCTCTGGGGGCCACTTGGTCCCCTCGGGGGTGGCCTTGTCCCTACCGAGGGTGGCCCTGTCCCTCCGGGAGTGGCCCTGTCCCTTCCAGGGGTCACTCTGTCCCCTCAGGGGTGGCCCTGTCCCTTCCGGGGGTCACTTTGTCCCCTCAGGGGTGGCCCTGTCCTTCTTGGGGTCACTTTGTCCCCCCAGGGGTGGCCCTGTCCTCACTGGGGGTGGCCCTGTCCCCCCCAGGGGTGGCCCTGTCCTTCAGGGGGTCACTTTGTCCCCTCAGGGGTGGCCCTGTCCCTTCCGGGGGTCACTTTGTCCCCTCAGGGGTGGCCCTGTCCCTTCCAGGGGTCACTCTGTCCCCTCAGGGGTGGCCCTGTCCTTCTGGGGGTCACTTTGTCCCCTCAGGGGTGGCCCTGTCCCTTCCAGGGGTCACTTTGTCCCC